TGATAATCCATAAATATATATATTAGATTTGAATGATAAATAAGTATTACCTCCGACATGCAGATACGTATTTTGTCATTTTCATTTGTTTCATAACAAATGTATATATATTTTTTGGTAATTATATTATTTAATATAAATATCTCTTATTATATATATATTTATTATTGTACCATTATTTTTATATTAAAAATGTAAAAAATATATATATTTTTACATTATTTTTTATTACTTACTATAATTAAAATATTCATATTATATATACTTTGTGCAAAAAATAAATTTATACCTAACAAAAAAAGAGTATTAATTTTAGTCTCAATAATTTGCTCAAAAATTTTAACAAAAATTCCAATCAGTACAAAAGCGTACGGAACCTCATATATACACTGTAGTACATACAAAATTTATTACAGAAAACTATAAGGACTAAATTGAAACACAAAAAAACTTTTAGGGGCAAAGTATAATTAGCCAATCAATCTCTTTATCCATCATATTAAAATAACAAATTTTGCAAAAAGGGACAAAATACCAAAAGTAGAGCACTTAGTATTTAATTAAGAATTATTGCTGTTTGCTTATAAGATTCTCAAACAAGCCCCTCTTTGTTCTTTTAACTAATCATTTTTAATTAAACTAATGATTTTAAATTTTGCCCAATAAAATGATTTGTCTTAAAAGCCATAGGTAATACTCCCCCCGTCCCATAAATATAGTTTTAATTGGGTTAGACACGAGATTTAAGGAATATTAATATTATATTGGTAGTTGATAAAAAATATAGATAAAAGACTTTTTTGTCCTTGTGAATGTATAAGTGTAAAAAGTAGTGATAATTGTGTAATAAAAATAAAAAAGTAGGGGTAGTTTTACGGTGATATGGTTATTTATAGAAATAAAACTATTGTTTTTGGACGAACAAAATGATAAATAAGACTATTGTATTGAGACGGAGGAAGTATTTAATTCATGTGGGACTTTTTGCTACATCTTTTTAAATTAAGTTTCAGATTTTGATCACTTTTCCTTTAATTAAAAATGATAGCATTGTATACTTTGCAGGATATTAAGTTCGGCTTAGAGTATACACAATGCGCATTTTCGGGTAACTGTTGCAGATTTTCACGTCATAAAAATAAAATAAAATAAAATAAATGATAGCATTGTATTCACTTAAATATTAGGTTTGTTTATTTTTTTTATTTTAAATAGAAATTTATAATATTCAATATGCATGATCTTTAATCAAATATATACTTCATCCGGCTCATAACTAGATATCTATTTGCTTTCTGAATGCAGTTTTAGAAATATTAGTATTATATTGGGATATGGTAAAAATAAAGTAGAAATTACTAAAATAACTTTATTAGTATGTGTGATATAAATATAATGGCATTTGTGTAATATATATTATAAGTTGTAAGGGTATTTGTAATGTTAGGTAGATAGTACAGTTACTAAACAAGAAAATAGATACTTTGTTATGAGACGGACTAAAATGAAAAAATAGATACTTTGTTATGAGACTGAGGGAATATTATTTATTTTAATAAAATTTTACATCAAAATATTATTTAAACTAAATCTTATGCTATTAAAATTTCAAACTCAAATAAAAACCAAATAAACTCATACAAGTGTACTTTGTCTGTTTTTATTTAGATTTTAATTTAAATATAGATTCTTTTATATATATATATATATATATATAGAAAAATTACATAATAAAAGAAGTTGAAAAAAAAAAAAAAAAAACCATTAGTAACTCATTCTTAGTAAAATTTTTAGGTAAAATAAAAATGTTATGATTAATTGTGCTGATATATATATATATTCAAGAGTTTGAAATTTATATATATTTATATATCATTCCACTCATACTAATATTTAATATGTTTGTATAATAATTAGATAGTTTGTAATTAGGTTCAATTAATATGTTTTGTTATAGTATTTAATAATGTACTTTTAAAATTGTATTGAGATTGATTAATAAAAGTTAATATTATAGTTTATTTTTTTTATTTTATAAATATATATTCAAGAGTTTGATTATTGTAAGTTAATATTATAATTAAAAGTTTGTTTTAGAATGAAGTTTTATTTGAATAATATTCAAGTTATGGACTAATAGATATTTGATTAACCATATATTTTATGCTATGAATTAAAGTAATTTGAAATGTATATACCAATAAAATATATTAACATAAATATTATTTATTCCGGTCACTCACAAATATATATATATATATATACATTTATAGTTTGGATTGTTCAATTACAAAGTAATTATTTAATAAGATATTATATATATATTTTTTCACAAATGTCATATTTTATCATCACATCATTACTTTTACCTCAAAAAATAAGAATAAAATTATTTTTACACTACTTTTAACTATCAATTACAATTAAAGTATAATTGTTTTTGTAAACTCTGCTTAGAAAATAAATATTTATTTATAAATTGGATACAAAGAGTATTCTACAAATAATAAATTTATATATAAACACAATATATATGTATTATATAAACTCATCATAAATTAATTTTACATATATATATATAAATAAATAAAACAAATAACATATTTATTTATTTATTAAAAGATATAAAAATGCAGTGTTATAAGTAGCCAAGTAGGTTATACTCTTGATTTTGTTTTTTAAAAATATTGAAATTATAGTATAGTTATGTCATTTTATTTAGACACATAACCTAAAAATAGTGATACTCTAATATAAAGGTAAAAAAAAAATAATAAAGCAGAATATTATAAAAAATTTATAAATAATTAATAAAAAAATGCAATAAGTAAAAAAAAAAAGCAAAAAATTAATTATTACTCTTATTTGTTAACATAAAAACAATAAAATTATGTATAAATAAAATTGTATACTATAAATATATTGTGCATAAATTTAATAAAAAAAAAACTGATACAATTATTAATTTATAAGAGTTTGACGGTTAATGATATAATATTTAATGTAATAATGTTTAGTAAATTAATAATAATACTTCATCCGTCTCAAAAGAGTTGTTTTAATTTTTTTATTTTCGTTCGTTCTAAAACAATTGTCTCGTTTTTTATTTAGTAACAGTGGTCCTCATTTTACAACAAAATTACTTTTACTTCACTACAACTACTCATAATTATTACTTTAACATACTTTTTAAAATTTGAGGTTAATTTAATCATTTATATTCTACTTTATATCTACTTTCAATTAAATACTATTTTTTCTTAATTTTTGTGTAAACTCACAGCAACACATCTTTTATGGGATAGAGGTAGTATTATATTATTTTATTATTATATTTATGTGAAAGGTATTAATATTTTTAAAATAAAACTAATATATATAATTAAAATAAATTAGAATATGTTTATGAATATTAGATAATAAAATTTTATATAATATAAATGAATGATTAATAAAAATTAATTTTGTAAATAAATAAATATTTTTAAATATAAATAAAAATACTTTTATATTAAATAAACATAAATAATTTTTTTTTTGAATATATTAAATTAAATTGATTTATATTTGTTAAATATATTAAATATTGAAAAATGTACTTATAAGCAACTGTTTGGTGTAAGACAAAACAAGTTAACGTCACCTCTTGCGGAATTTTTTTTTTTCATTGAATAATGTGTGTTGATTATTGAACATATCTTATGTGTTATATTCAATTATAGCATGTGACATATATATATACATATTATTTTTTTACTATTATATGTTATTGCTTTATATATTATTATTATTATTATTATTATACTCTTGTCCTTTTAATACAATGTATTCCTTTTCTTATTTCATTTATTTTATTTAAAAATATTATTATATTTTATTATTATAAACATAATTTATATATAAATATGAAAATACCTATAATTTTTAAATAATATATATTTTTTATAATTGAAAAAAAAAATATCAATATCATCATATACATTTTTACTAAATAAAATAGTATTAATTCTTAATTTGCTAAAAAAAATAAATGTATACTTTAAGTTGGGAGTATTAACTCAAAAAATTATTTATTATTATAAAATATGTTTTTAGTAAAAAATATTACTTTTGTACTTTTTAAAAGAAAAATAAATATTTTTATTTTCAATTAACTATATTTTTCGACGGATGGGGTAGTATTTAATTATTTTTATTTAAAAATATTAAAATGAAAAAATAAAAATATATATAATAAATTTGTTATTTAAAATATTTTATAACTATTTAATTATGAAAATATTTAAACAAAAACGCAGGAGGCAGACAAACTTAATGTTTAAAATACGGATTAAATGTTCATTACTTACAAATTTAAACTTAAGTCCATAATTATTTGGATAAATTATATAATGTCCCCATGTATTTTTAATAAAAATCAGAAAAAACACCCTATATTTTATTTATTTCGTAAAAAAGTCTTTTATAAAGTTTGCACAAAATACAATCTTTGTCTAAAATTGATATGTAGTTATAAACAAAGACTTGAACTACATAAGTTTTATATAAACAAAAAAACGCAAAATATCTTATTTAAGATATCAATTATCATTTGTTTATTTTATTAAAAAAAATTATTTAAGATATTTTGCGTCAATTTTAGACAAATAGAGTATTTCGTGCAAATTTTACATTAAATAAAACACAAATTATTTTGTACATTTTCACTGAGTGTTATATAATTTACCTTTATTTATTACAAATCAACTAACACCTCAATTAACCAAAAATTCAATTAAATTCGAGAGCAAATAGGGCACAACATTGAGTAAATCCATCATAAGTGTATTAATTAATTATAGTTATATTCATTAATGGCGTGATTAATTGGAAACAATAAATAATTAGCATTAAAGAATAATTACAATACATAAAGAAATAAAAAATAAAAAATAAAAAATAAAAATGGAAGCTTGAAATAGTTGCATTGGTTGAATTGAAAGCAAACAGTTTCGAGCGATTTTACAGGGCAGAGAAGAGAAGACCTCTCTCTTTCTCTCTCTCTCTCTCGCGCCGGCTGCTTATCTATCTGTAAGTATATGTGTATCTATATGCGGTGGTGCCTGCCTGTGTCAGAAGCGAGTCCCAGCTCCCATGTCTGCATCAATCATGGAGTGAAGGAGTGAGAAAGTGTAAAATTCGCATCAATTATACACTCTGTTTCCCCTTTTGTTTAATTTGTTTGTTTATTAATTTTTCTCAGAAAACAATCATCGAAATCTGTCGATAGACCCTTGCCCATGTTCGGCGACCAGACCAGATGTTTGGACGCTAGCCAACTTCTTTCCTACTTGTCTGCGCCTGTGCGATTCCTTTTTTTTCTTCTGTTTAATTTCTGGACTACTTCCGATGTGTACCTGAATCATCTGCATTGTGCTTTTGAGCCGTACCAATCAGAGGATTGTTTTCATTTTTTTTTTTACTTTTTTTTGTGAATTTTGTTTGGGGGAGGGAAGGAGAGGTTGTTAGTTCTACGCTTTTGGATTGTCAGATTCGGGCGTGTTTCGATTGCTTCGAATTTAATGTTGGAACTGAATGAATTTAATGCCCTCGATAATTTTAGCCCCTTCTTTTCTGGATTAGGGCAAACCTTTTTTCATCAATCGTGTTGACTGTAGCTGTAGCTCCTCGGTTGAATCTTTGGATTGATTTCTTTGGCGATTCGGTGCCAGTGACGCATCGGATTGGGTCAGCTTCGAGCTATATCTTTCTTGGAGGAAGCTGTGGGTTTCTGATCTGTCTGTTCTTCATACATTTTCGAAGGATTTAGCTTTATTGCAGAGAATCTGGAGAATTTGCAATCTAGGTTTAGTTTTTCCCTTTTCCAAGTGATGATGCGTTAGGGTTAGAGATTGTGAATAATGGCGACTTTGGTTCCCGGAGTTCTGTTGAAGCTACTGCAGCATATGAACACAGATGTGAAAGTTGCAGGAGAGCATCGATCTTCATTACTGCAGGTGGTGAGCATTGTTCCTGCACTGGCAGGAGGTGAGCTCTTCCCCAACCAAGGGTTTTATCTGAAGGTATCCGATTCCTCTCACGCTACATATGTATCGCTGCCTGATGAACACGATGATCTGATTCTTAGTGACAAGATTCAGTTGGGGCAATTCATTCATGTGGATAGGCTGGAGGCCGCCTCCCCGGTGCCGATTATGAGAGGGGTTAGGCCGGTGCCTGGCCGGCATCCTTGCGTGGGAACCCCCGAAGATATTGTTGCTACTCATTCGTTGGGATTCCTCAACAATAATGCCGATTCGTCTTCGCGGATGAAAATTATGGATAAAAGCAAGTCAGGATCGAGGCTTGATGCAGCAGTGAAGGATGTTAAAGTTAAGCCTTCCCCGTCGAGATTGAATGGTGGTTTGAAGGATGATAAGCCTGAGAAGAGAACTCCTGTGCTGACTCGATCGAAATCTCAGCTGTCGAAGCTGGCTGTGTCTTTGGATGTGAAGAAGGACTTTGCTGGGAAATTGAAGTCTGGGTCTGGGTCTAGGTCGATACCTACTTCCCCGACTAGTTGTTATTCGCTGCCTACTTCGTTTGAGAAGTTTTCTAATGGGATAAAGCACCAGGCAAAGATTAAAGGATTGGATAGAATGGAAAAGGCAAGTGCTAATGTGGGGTCGAAAGAAAAGCAAAGCCCAGTTCGCGGGGTGAGCTCGATTGGGAAGAAGCTTCCGAATATGAATCTAGTGAAGAATATTGTTCAGGGATTTGAATTAGGTCCTAAAGCCTTGAGAAAAAGCTGGGAAGGGAACATGGATGCCAAGAGTAGGGAAAGTCCTAGATTGAAAGTTAACAAGCAGGAGATGAAGTCGGAGGGTCGAAGTAATTCTGTAAGTTCTTTATTGTGCCGTAGCTGAATCTAAATCTATTGCATCTCTTGAATGGCTTGAACAATAAGACTATTGGGACTTACAATTTGATTGAATCACAACTTGTCTATTGTATTGTTCGATTTGAGTAGATGTATCTGATATTCTGATCACCATAATTGTAGAAACAGTTTATTTAAGGTGCACGGGTCCGTCTGAGTGTTTTGATGCTATTTGGTATAACTCATAAATGAGCTGATTGCGGCGGCTGCTTATTTTGGTCATTGCTTTGAAACTTTTATAATTCGTTTTACTCGATACTTTATCTTTGAAAGTATTCGTTTTTGTTTAGATTTATATTCTCATCACACAGGCACCGAGGAAATCAACAAGTGAAAAGTTGCCAACTAAAGAAGATTCTAAAAGCATATCTTCAAAATCCGCTAGAGAGGAAAGTAAAGTAAATTCGTCTGGGAAAAAGGCTTCGATCAATGGAGATACTCCTGAAAGTGCTAAATCAACTACGCGATCTTCTGTTGGAAAGAAGTCATCTGGAGATGCTGCTAATCATGGATTTCCAGGAAATTTGGTCAAGGTTTCTGTTGGCAGTCGGAGACTAACAGATGCAAGTGTTGCATGGGCCTCATTGCCATCTTCTCTTTCAAAGCTTGGGAAGGTACGGATTTCCACATTGTTTTGTCGTCCCTGTCTTCCTTACATGTATTCCCGTATTTTCCTGGCGGTATATTTGCACATATATCTAAAAACTTATAATATAATACACATTGTACTCAGTTTTTCTGTGATATATTGAATTTGATGTGGTAAGCTCAACTATGAGAACATACAAAAATTGAATGAAGAATTCGGCCTGATAAATTTAGATTTCTGGAGATATGTCAAATCTCTTTTAGCTTATGATAAGATTTGTTCTTTTAATTGAGCAAATATTTCAGCCGAGTATTAGCCTTCCAGCCTATTAATTTGCCTGGTTTCTCATTCTGGAATCATTGTGACCTGAATAATCAGGAAGTCCTGAAGCACAGAGACTCTGCACAGACAGCTGCTGTAGAAGCAATGCAAGAAGCTTCCATTGCGGAAACTCTGCTTCGATGCTTGAGGTATTTCCATACATGGATTTAAGAAAAGTTTGACATCCTTTAGGCTGAATCTACATTTATCTAATTTGATTGTGAACAATTATATGCTCTAGAAGAATTTGCTTCTGCATTACCTACCTTAAAAGTATGAAATTTGACTTACCTACCTTCTGAGTTTTTTCGACTATACTTATCTCAGTTTCATTTTTGCATATAGCCATTAGCTATAGAATTGATATTGAGCAAGTGCTTCTCAGTTTACAGTTGGTTTGAGACTTCGTCTCTTTAAATAGACCCCGTTCTCATGAAGTGTCTCCAACTTTATTTGTCACTACTAAATATGAACTGGTTGGTTTTGAGTTTGATGTCCCGAATTCTAGATCTCCATAAATCCTATCTAGTTGGCCAACAAAGAGAAAACTATATAGAGTGTCTGAGTGGTTTTCTACTACTGGTGACACTACTAGTTAGAACTCTGACCCTACCTCGAAAGATTGCAATAGTACCGAATCCCAGTATAATATATCTCTCAGTGGTCACTCATTATTTCTGTAAAACTTTTTATGCAAAGGTTACTTAGATATGTTTGTGGTTTTTGGAAGAGCTGTTTTGGAGAAACAATGAACGTTGTGATGCTCATGGAGCTTTAGCTTGAGCTCTTGTCTTTGTTTTTCTTCGGTTAAAATACCATCCTGAGGTAGAATATGTAGAATGGCATGTTTACTGGAAGCTTATCGGTTTCTCTGGCGTCTTCTAAATGCTTCTCTTTATGTTTATGTAAATAAAAATGAATATGTTGTTCTCTTGTAATCATGTGGCCCGAGCAGTTGTATTTAGGCAGTCTGTAATTTTTATGAATTCAAAACTTTCGAGTAAGTTCCATGTGCATAGTGGATATTATATTCAAACACTTTCGCTGAGAAAACATGGCTAGACCTTTCTTGCCGCAATTACTTTCTCAGTTTGATTAAGGCCAGGGCCATTGAAAAGTAGTAACTGTTCTTCGACGATCAAAAGGATTTAATCTGTAGAAAGACAATGCTGCTGTTATACTTAATTTTCTAGTGAACCTGTGAATAGCCAATCGAAGGTTTTCTCGATCTAACCTCACCAAACTAGCTGGTTTACTTGGGACAGTATTCCTTGTTACCTTTCTGCCAATTAAGATTTTGGACAATGTAAGGACTTGATCTATGGTTGTCCAGACATGTGTGATTCCTATTTACATAATTATTCGAGTTGTATGTCGCGAATGTCGTAAAGTTCCATGAACAAACTCTGTTTGACTGATAGTTTAGCAAAAGAACTATACTTATCACTTCAACTTCTCGAAAATATATGTATTTACGTAAAACCGTGTTTTTTTCCTCATGCAGTACATATTCCGAGCTTCGCTCGTCTGCAAAAGAAGACAATCCACAGCCTGCGGTGGAGCAATTCTTATCGCTACATTCAAGCTTGAACAAAGCTCATCTTGTTGCAGATTCCTTGTCCAAAACCCTCTGCGTCGACTCCTCAGATAATGAAGAAAACCAGTCGGAAGAAGCATTGAAGGTCACATCCGACGGACGGAAATCAGCCGCTTCTTGGGTCAATGCCGCATTAGCCACCAACTTGTCATCCTTTACAGTCTACACCAAACCAGTCCACAATGGCCCAGGCGCAGCGTCGTCTCCTACACCAGGTCAAAAAATTAATCAACCCGTTATAGTCCTAGAAAATGCAGCAGCCAAGAATGCGCCTCCGAAAACAGCAACAAAACTTCGTCAAACAACAAATTCGAAGAACTCTACGCGCAGGCCAAGTGACGGACCGGCAGCTAGCCAGAGTGCAAGAAGTTCTCCTCCGATCGAATGGGCCAAGGGAGACGGGCTCGATGAGGCTGTGGAGCTATCAGAAATGCTGCAGTCGGAGTCGCAGGATTGGTTCTTGAGATTCGTGGAGCGGTTCTTGGATGCAGATGTGGACACCTCGTCTGCTCTGTCGGATAATGGTCAGATAGCCGGAATGCTGAGCCAGCTCAAGAGCGTCAACGACTGGTTGGATGAGATCGGGACGGGGAAGGAAGATGAAACGCCGCACATATCAACGGAGACCGTCGATCGGATAAGGAAGAAGATTTACGAGTATCTTTTGACACATGTGGAATCAGCTGCAGCGGCACTTGGCGGCGGCGCACAGTCGTCGTTGTCGCCTCCGGCGATGTCGACGACAAATAATGAGACAAAAGGAAGAAGGTGAGAGATGGGGATTATTGATATATAAGAAAAAAGTGGGATTGAATATGGTGTGTTTGTTTGAATACTGCCAAGCAGTGGAAGAAGAAGAAGAAGGCACAAAAGATACAATAGATTTTTACATTTACATTTGAATATATTGGATCATGTTCTTGTGTATATACAGCAGCTTTGATGCAACCAACAAAAAAAAAGATTGATTGATTGATTGATTGATGATGATAGCCATTTTGATTGATGCATTTTGGGTGTTTGTAGGAACTTATCAGGAATTTAACCCTAAGCCCAGGATCTACCGTGTTGTCATAATTGAGATAAAAATAAAGTAAAATAAATCTAACCTTATTCCATTAGTATAGTCGAATACGGATATGCTAATAATTGAGGGTTTTGTGTTCTTCAAGTCTATGGCGCAACCCCTCCTGAGAAAACCGCTAGGGTTTCTGCTGTTACTCCCACGATGAGATATGGAACGTAATGGTTGTTGCGTCTAGACTTGGGATCACAACCCTATTTATATCCCTTATTATTAATTGGCCTCATCACCCAATTAATAAGTTACCGGGTTTCTGTACATTGGAGGCCCGCACTTACTAAATACATTTAAGTCCAATAAATTAATAGATCACTTAATATAGGCTTAATCTGACTGATAGCCCAAATAGTTACATTTAACCCACAATTGGATTTTTAATCCAACATGTTTATGTTTGTTTCTTGCATTTATATTTTATGTTTAAATAGTATCTAACGTTACAAATGCTTTTCCAATTTATAATGTATTATACAAATGTCATTCATTATTTTTATATTATATAATACTAATAAGGTTAATTTAGTATTTTTATTTTTATTTTTACTTTATCTTAATATAATATTAATATTTCTAAAATTTCGTGCAAAAAACAAATACATATATAGATATGAGACGTAGAGTGTATATTTATTTATTGAAAAATAGAAAGTAATATGCTAAATAATTTGTTCTTTGCTAATAATCATTTGATTGAAGAATTGCTTGTGTTGTGTAGATGGTCTCCAAAATTCTTATTACTGCATGCATGCAATGTCGAAATCCCACGATCAACAAGATATTCTTACCAAATGAGTAATACTATTATCTATCAATTCGGAATCCCTTATTTTGTCTTGTCTTGTCTTAAGAGGGCGACGACTACAGTGTTAAATGCTGAACAACACATTGTGTGCTATTAGATAATACATAATATTACTAACAACAATACATTGTATATGTTAATATAATACAAATACAACATATGAACAAAACATGCATGTTATAGTCTCAACGACACATAATATTACTATAGACAAACAACATACAATATCACTACACACCACAGATTGCATATGTTAATATAATATAAATGATACAACACATGCTATAGTCTCGTACAAAATACACAACCGTTGATTTTAGCACGTAACATACTTTTATACACCACACTTATTATTTAAAAACAATGCATACCTTTATTATACACAATATGTTATGTTGTATGTAATACTAATGCGTGCTGTTGGTATATATAACGCATGCTAATTTTTAACCACCCCCCACAGGAGAGAGTTTCCGAAAACAAAATTTTCTCACAATTAAAATTAAAATTAATTGGATTCCTTACTCAAAATGAAGGCAAAAACTCAACAAAGAAATACTATACAATTCAATCAATACTCCCTTCACATGGAATTACAGCTGACCAAAATATTTTAAATTCAAATATTCGATTTTAATCGAATCCAAATTTAAAATTTGATTGGATTTTCAGATCTATACTAAAAAATTAAACTAATTCGAAATTTGAAAGATAATATATTAATATATTTTATTATTATTAATATATAAGTCTAATATTTTAATAATATAATGTTTTAATAATAAAAAAAATTTAAAATTATTAATTACTTCCTCCAAGTCGCAAATGCACACTCGTGGGACGCCACTTGTATGCACCGACGTTGTTTCTTGCACGCTTGGCATGCCTCCAGGTTACTCCATTGACCATTTTGCGCGTATCACTTTTTGTAACGTGCCGAAAGCTGACACGTCCGGCGCCCAGGCCCAAAGGCCCAAGCCAACCTTCCCGTCAGCCAAATTTATTCTTACTTTTTTTTTTTTAGTCTGTCAGCTAAATTTAACCCATTACTGATTGATTTTGTGGCAAAATCAACCAATCAAACATTTAACTATTATTCTCTATTCAACACTGACTACCTTTATTACATTATCTCTCCTATTTTTCTTTTTAATTTCTAAATTAATTTAAAAAATATACCTCCAACTACATTTTTATTTTTATCAAATTTTCAATAAAATATTCATTTTTTTTAATCTGTGTACAGGACCCAAATATTTTGGAGGGAATACATATTAAATAGTTAGTTTTATTTCTCATGTATTTAATATTATAAAAGAATATTAAAAAAATAAAACAAAATATACAATTTTAATTTTTTTAAAAAAGAATTTTTCGGAATTTATTACTCCCTCTGTTCCGCGAGAAGGGTCGCGTTTGCTTTTTGCATGTAGATTTTTTAATATTAGTATTATATTGGATTGTAGTAAAAAAGACAAAAATACCTTTATTAGTATGGTGTAATATAAAAGTAATGACATTTGTGTAATATATTATAAGTTGAAAGAGTATTTATTATGTAAAATAAGTAGTATAATTACTAAAATAGAAAACGGTAACCTTGTCTTGGGACGAACGAAAATGAAAAATTGTAACCTTTCAATGGGACAGAGGCAGTATTATTTTTTCAATTTGGTAAAAAAAAAAAAAATTCAGATTTTCTGATCAATTTAAACTTAAGAAAATCCAAATCGGAAATTCAAATGTTATACCTGCTTTAACATATGTCCTTTGATTGTATTTAAGACGTGAGAGATGCAATACATGTGTTTGTTTTGGGGTTTAGATTTTGACTTGAATTGGAATAGTAAAATTTTTTAATTTGAATAATTATATAATGTGATATAAATAAGTATTGACGTGATGTTTTAAATATAAAATTAATTTTTAGTATAATATAAAAAATAAAAAAAACGTGTTCAATTTAATTTTTTTTTTTTAAAAAAATGAAATGAATAATCAATTTAAAATCCAAAACTTTATATTATATTGAAGACAAATTGACTAGAATCTATAGTTCGTCAGCTATCAAAACTTTATTATGTCATTCATTCAATTTGCTATTAGAAAAAAAAATAAAAAAATAATTTTTTTTTTTTTTTTTATGATATTAAAATTAAGGAATAAATAATGTTTCATACGTCTCAAAACAATAAAGATATAACAATAGACACATTTGAGATAGACATAGAAATTAAAAAATAATAATATTATATTGATAACGAATGTAAAAATATTTTTAAAAGACTGAAATGTCTATACTTTATATAATTATTATGAAAATATAAAGATAATTTTGTGAAAGAGTAGAATATTAGTTATCGAAAATAGAAATCGGACTATTATTTTAAAAATGACAAAATAAAACTATTGGTCTTAAAAAAAAAGAAGTATAAAAAAATGTGCATAAAAATAAGTCAGTAGACGTATAGAAAAAGCAAAATAAAAATATCTTCAACAGTTCAAGGTAGAGACCTGTTTCTTTATATCCTTCCTATATATATCTTTATTAATAACTTCACTTCAGAATTTATAAAAAAAAAAAAAATCATTATTTTACATTTATTATCATTTAATTCTTTCAATATAAATGTTACCATAATCATTTCACCTAAAAATTTTATTCCAATGAAAAGATACGATTAACTTACCAATCATTGCTCAATAGCCGCTCCTTGGGAGGGCAATTCGACCGGCTTCGCAGCAGCAGGATCGATCCCGGAAAATCTAACGGCTCCGAGCATCTGCTCCGGCAGCTCCGCTGCATCCTGACCCTCGATCACATAAGCCATATCAACGGTCATGGTTGCAAAGTATCCGAAGGCCAGACGAACAATGGCTGTCGAAAACATCGAAGATCCAACATCCATATCGACTTCAATAAAATCTTCGCCACGATAATACTTGCACGTAAGCCATTTCCCGATGAGGCAGATCGCCTGCCTCGCGACTGCTTTTTTCACAGCCCACGGTCCTTTCACGATGTTCACCATTAACTTCAGTCTCGAGTTCTTGAATCCATCGTCTCCGTTTAGGAACTTCTTGATCAGAGGATTTTCGTTGCTCTTTCTGCCATCCGTGTCGACAAAATACATGACGATGCTGTTGTTGTCGCTAGTCGGGAGCTGAAAATTAAAGGCCCACACGAAAGGCTTGCGGTGTTGCCGACTTTTGGTTTCGTCGAGGGCTCTTCGGATGTGGTTTTTGGGATTTTTCAGCAGCTCTGAAATCTTCGCCGGCCCTTTAATCCAGTCGAAGCCGAGAGGCTTAAGGAGATAGTCATCGCCGGGGATCTTCTCCTTTGTTTTCTGATACTGTGATCCTCTAACCATGAATATGTTTGCTGGAGGGGATATCCAGCAGTTTGAATCAGGGCAGTGTTCTGGATCGATATATGGAACCGAGCCTTTCGATTTCACTCGCTCGATCCATTCGTCCTCGCGGCTCTGTTCTGGATTTTCCATAGATAGATAAGCTCTCTCCTTCTCTACACAAAATTCCCACATTTGAGGATGAACATTAATAGAACAGTTGAATTGGTTCATTCATGGAGAAGAACTTGTTCAAGTAATCATATTCAGTTAGTTAAAGTTGGATTGAATGATTATGAAGATATCTATAATTTCATCCATTGAACCAATTCAAACTTTCATGGATGAATGCTAAAAGAGGCACCAGGATCAGAGGCATAACAATTAACAACTCTTCATTAATTTAAACAGTAAGGGGAACATTCCAGAAAATACAAGCAAAGAATCCAAACTGTAAAACACCTTCAAACTGTGAAATCCGAAACCCTAAGCGACAAAACTGGATCGAAATCTCTAAATAATCTTCATGCCTTTGCTTCACAACAGTAATAAAACCAAATCACACACAAAATTCAATCGCAACTTGCAAACCAGAGAGAACACCGAAAGGCATAGGCGATTTACTCCGGGAGGAATTAACACCAAAAGTCGAGGAAATTAAGCTCAATCAGTTCAGTTCCCAGCAACAACAAATAAAATGAACAACGAAGCGGTTGAACAGATACACGCAAAATACCACCAGAACTTGGATCTAAACCGTTAAAAATCTTCTTCGTTTTGTGCTTCACATCAGGAAAATAATAACAATAATAATAATCAACATACAAATGCATCAAAATACCAAAAGACGGAAGCAAAATAAGCTGAAGCAGTTCCTATAAACATAAGCAGTAGTAATGACTAATGAGAAACAGCGAAGCGGTAGAACATAATGACACAAAAATGGCGAAAATGGTCTCACCTCCGTCCGTCCGTCCAGTAAGGATGCTGATATCGCAAGGTATCAATGATACATATATATATATATATATGTAGCGAAGGAAGCGAAGGTAAGCGGCAAAGATGAAATCAGCTAACAATGGCGGTGTGGTCTGTCTTCTCTCGATAAAAAATACGTAGCGTAGTGTAATGTGTGTGTGTATATATATATATATATATAAATGAAGGAGCTGTGAATGACGAGACGACTCTCTGCGAACTGCCAACTCACTTAATTCATGTACTCCACTTTTCGTTGACTCCGTTTATGTGTGGTTGTAAGTAAAATAATTTTAAGGGTATACTATTTTTTTTGTGTGACCCTTTCATTTTAGTTCTATAAGTGGAATCTATAGCCTTTGGCGAGTCATACGGGTATCTTTGGCATTGGAGAATTAAAATAACAAAAAATTTTTATTTATAAGACTAGTTTGAGATAGACTCCACTCACGAAACTAAAATGATAAGAGTGTCAGTTACAGAACTAAAAAAAACAGTTTACAATAGTTTAAAATATTATCTTACTCCAAATTGTATGTCTCAATTTTAGTAAAAGTATAATTAATAGATAATTAAAAATATATTTGTAAGGTTGGAGTTTACTTTTTTATTTCTTAATATTAATATTATAATGAATTTCAGTGAAAAAGACAAAAGTATTGAGTAATACAAAAGTAATGATATTTGTTTAATATAATGTAAGTTAGAAGTGTATTTATTATATTAGGTAGGTATACAATTACTAAATTAGGAAATAGTAACTTTGTTATAGAACGGACGAAAATAAAAAATGACAATATTTCAATTGGATGGAAAAATATTAATAAATAATTATCTTATAATATAAATAATTATAGATTAAAATTAAAATAATTAATTAATTTAATTAAAATTTAAAAAATTATAAATTAAAAAATTTAAATTGAGATTAAGGTGTGTAAATATTTTTTAAGAAATAAAAATGACATAAAATGTGAGATGGACAAAAACGACAATATAAATATAATAGGTGGAAGAGAGAGAGAGTAATATTTTTTTTATATTAGATATAAAGAACTTTCTACGTAATATTAAAAATAATAAATGTTTATAACATATTAATTTTTTTTAAAAAAAAATATGTAAAAAAGTAATACAAAAAGAAGATACCTGAACTTTTGAAAACTTTTTGAAGCTTTGAATATTTAAAAATAATAATAATTTTAATATTTTTGTTATTTGTAGTTTAAATATAAATAAATTGTATATATATATAATAAGATATTTATAATTTATGTAAAAGTTGAAGGGTATGTTGGTATTACTGTATAATTATTTATAATTTAATAAAATAAATGAATACTATTGAGTAAGACAAACTAAAATAATAAAAATAATATTTTCAATTGAAATAAAAAATATGATATTTTGATATAATATTTTAAAAAAAAGTTAAATAATGCCAAAATCTTGCTGTGTAATAAGACATTTCTCTGATTTGTTATATATGGCTATAGTTTACTTTGGATAGATAAAAAAATACATTACATAAAATAAGACCATACAAGGATATTGTATAAATATAAAGAATACATCATATAAAGATAACAATACACAATATATAAATAATATTAATATGATACAAATACAACATATAATGTAGGACATGCAATCCGGCTGTTGGTGCAGTCTTGATGTTATAAAAAAAATTAGGATCATCCTGACTTTTATATTGATAATCCGATCATTTTAATTGTTAATCAATTGTTAATTTTAATCGAGAGTATTTTAGATATTTAAAAAAAATAATTCAATGGTCCTTAATTAAGAAAAAAATAATTATGTTAACTAAATTTGTTATTGTTGAACACAAAAAATAATAATAATAAATAATGGCAGTAAGATTCTGGATGGTCTGCATATAAGTCAAACGGCCCAGAAGTCGGGCAAAAAGAAGCCAGACAAGAAAGAATGATCGGCCGATACGGAGGTCGGACAAGACAAGGTCGGGCATGGAGATCGGACGTGATAAGGTCGGGCAAAGAAGTGGTATCGGTAGACGCGGAGGTCTGTCAAGACGAAGGTCGGGCAGAGAAGAAGTATCGGCAGACGCAAAATGAAGGTCGGGCATAGAAGAAGTATCGGCAGGCGCGGAGGTCTGTCAAGACAAAGGTCGGGCAAAGAAGTGTCAAAAAGATAGTCTGTTGAACCAGTTGTCCATCTAAGGAGATAAGACAAACAGAACCGGTCGGTTGGTTCGCTGTCGGATGGTTTGTGGTCGGTTGGTTCGCTGTCGGATGGTTTGTGGTCGGTTGGTCCGGTCGGATGGTCCGTAGTCGGTTGTCTCGCGGTCGGACCAAATGAGGTCGGACGGAGGACGGCTGATACGGCGATCGGTCGAAAGAGTAAGTCGGGCGAAGGACGGTTACTACGCAGGTCGGACCAAGTGAGGTCGGACGAGGAAGAATGAGACGGGCAATACGAGGTCGGACAAGAGACCAGATGGTGGTTGCTTGATGGGGCGGCCAATGAATCGTTTGGTCTAGCGACCAGTCTAAGAAGCCAGAGGTTATTGCTGGACGGTTGAGTAGTCGGTCGGGACCAGCCGCTCATTTAAGGCGGTGAAGTTTTCAGAAGCGGTCGGCCGAGACAGTTGAGTGCTGTAACTGGCACGAGCGGTTGGTGAGTGGGTTTAACATACGTGTCGACAGAAGAGGACTTTCTGGGCGGTTGATAGCGGTTGTTGTAACCGACCAGACGGCGGTTCAAACCGTTTCTTTAAAGGGTTTTAAATAGGTCTGTTCCTCCTGACCTAAGAAACAATCTTCAATCGACATCAAATTCAAGAGAATTGCTTTTGGTGATCACCACTTTATTTTCCAGTTTTTATTTTATATTTTTCTATTTTATTTATGTATGCTGCAGTGTTTAGATATTTTTAATCTCAAACACTAATTATATCAAATTCGAAGATAATTCCCTATTTTCGAATTTTACTTTTTATTGTTGAAAAAATACGTCAACCCTTATATTTGAAAACATAATGTTACTCAAAATTTTACAAACATTCTCAATTAATTATTTAAATGAAAAAACGTATACATCAACGTCGCAATGATGCATGCAATTATCATATATAATGTCGTTATAATACTATTATAATTTTTTTATGAAATGTTATCTTTGTACGATTTGTTGGAATAATGTGTAAATAAATACAATGTGAGGCAATTTTTCAGCAAGACGGATTATTTACTATAATAGAATAAGCTAGACTTTATATTTTCTAAAAATTTGTTAATTAATCAAATGTAACATCAATTAATGCAAATATTTTCGAAAACAATTAATCATTTTTATTTTAATGATGTATTTATGTATTATTTTAGAGCATATTTATATTTCTTAATAAAAATCAATTTAATATTTCTTCCGTAATTAATAAATACATACAAATGATATTCTCCCTCCGTCCCACATAATTTGTCTCTATTTTCTATTTTGGAAATATGATTATCCACTTTAATCACATTTTAAGTAATTAAACTATTTACTTGTCTTAATCTTAATCTATAATTATTTTTACTAAATAATAATTATTTCTACTAATACATTTCTTAATTGCTTACTAATTATATTTTACCTAAATTCTCATATCTACAGTAACACGTCCAAAATATATGGGACGGAGGGAGTATAAAATATGTGTATATATGCTATTTAAAATGTTAGATTATGCTCAAGTATTTTTTAAATAATACTACCTCCGTCCGGCTCTAAGGGTCCAATTTACTTTTTGCATGAGAGTGTTGTTGTTTCCGACTTCGTCGAGAGTCCCGTTGTTTTCGACTATAATTCAGTTGATAACACTGCTTCTGATTGCATGGTGGACAATTGTGGCTGCATTATCTTGAATCTCTCTTTGCAAACTCAACTTGTTTCACTTGAGTTTGAGAAGAGATGTTGAGATATTTTAGTTATTTAGTTTTAGATTGAATTTATTTTTTTTATATTTTGGTTTTATTCATTAGGTTTAAGTTTATCGAGTTTGTATATTATATTATGATTCAGTAGTTTCTAATTGCGACTATTGATATGTTGAATGACTAAGACGATCATGATTCACGTATCTATAGAACATGATGTTCATTAGGTAAAGCTATGATGTAATATAAGTTCGACAACATGTTACTTCCGCAATGGATGAAAAAGAAAAAAAAAAAAGCTTACCGCGTTCTGGATTTTTTTGAATATTTTCTTCTTTCACGGCGTACTAGATCTCGCCGGAATGTATATTCATTTTGTTCCATATTGTTTCATGCTCTGAGTTTCCTGCTATATTTTTTCTTCAAACGACATCGACGGAGAATATGGAGTTCGTTCTTTTTTTTTATACTGTGAACTTATCTAGATTATGATTATGACCAACACTACCTATATTTGCATTCTCTTGATTTATTATATGAAACAAATTACACATCGAATCCTACTTACAATATTATCCGTTGATTATTAATCACATCCAACGACTGTAAATTATTATGGACGGTCCTAAATAATTGAATCAAGATGATACCCAAATTGCATCCAACACATTATATAAAAATAATTAAAAGCATTTGAATTATGTTAGCATAATTTAAAGGCAATATATGAATCAACGATTAATAACATAGTCTCACACAACCCATACTACAATTGATGCGATACAAGAAGTGTATCAGTATAATATTTATATATTTTTATTTAACACAATATGTATTGCGTTTAATAAAAAGATTTAATATTTAACTATCTTATATTGCGTTAGCACTATAACCACTCTTATATACATTATTTTTATCCTATATTTATTTTGTTATTTTGATATATTTTCGAAATTAATTTATCTATTTTTAATAATTATAGTACTCATATGCATTAAAATAAAAAAGGAAAAAATCTTACACCCCTCATATGCATTAAAATAAAAAAATAAAAAATCTTACACCTTATTATTACAACCTGATCATCAATATAATTTAACTGCATTCTAAAATATATTTGGAGGTAAAAGTGTACATTCATTTTCCTAATTCTACTATCTACATTTTTATAGTCCCTGTATTAGATATTTTAAAATAGTAAAAATTTTGAATTTGAATAATTGTATGATATGATATAAATAGGTGTTGATGT